TATAGTTGTAAATGGTATCAATGTAGATCCATTTAATGTTTTGAAATTCATGACAAACCCCCTTACAGACTTATAATTTCACTTACCACAATTGTTATTTAGTTTTCCACTCTTGTCAACTGATTTTCGTAACTTGTCATTCGTCTTACTTAACTTGCATAAATTACTTATCAGAACTTGTCATCTGTTAAAGAAATATGAAAATTTTGTTATTTGAAAAAAGAAAATTAAATTATTATGAATTACTTATCAGAAGTTGTCATTCGTCTTACTAAACTTGTCATTCGCCAATAATGTTTAGTAAGATATATGACAACTTCTGAGAAGTAACTCATAGGAATTTAAGATTATATGTTAAAACAACAATTTGCATAATCTTTCACAAATGACAAGTTTAGTAAAGCGAATAAGAATTTTTGATAAGTATTTGATACGAATTTAATTTTTTTCTTTTCAGATGACAATTTCTAGATTTATTTAGCAAATGACCAGTTCTGATAAGCAATTTATGACAAGTTTAGTTAGGCGAATGACAACTTCTGATAAGCATTTCATACGAATTTAATTTTTTCTGTTCAAATTATAGAATTTTCAAATTTCTTTAGTAGATGACAAGTTCAGTAAGGCAAATGATAGAATTTGTGTTTCTGTCACTACATTTCTGTCACCACGTTTTTTATTAAGTGGACAACATTAAATAGCTCTACATTGTTACAATATAGAACTGATTAACAAAAATGTTAACATTCCTCTGCACAATATAAAAAGACCATCATTATTAAATTGTCATGTATTTCTATCACTGTATTGCTGTCATAATAGTTAAAAGTCTACATTAATAATACTAACAAGCGAAATTACAATAATGGTGATCATTACACTCCTTCCAATATATTTAACTCCCCCTTCATCACTTCATTCAAAATGTCCACCAACGTGGACGTAACATAACAAATTTTGTGTTTTTGTTACTGCATTTCTTTCATCACAAGATAATTGTTTTTTACTTTAGAAAATCACAACTTAAGTATAATATATGACAAGTTAAATATATCAAATTACAACTTCATTTATTTCTAGATTGCTTTGGCGAGTGACAAATTGAGTAAGCCAAGTAACAAGTTATGAAAAGCAATTTATATGAAGTTCATTTTTTGTGTTCAAATAACATTATTTTCAGATTTCTTTGGCCAATAACAAGTTGAGTAAGGCGAATGACAAGTTATGAAAATCAATTGACAAGAGTAGAAAGCCAAATAACAACTGTGGCAAGTGAAATTATAAGTTTGTGAGGGGGTTTATCATGAATTTCAGAACATTAAATGGATCTACATTGTTACCATTTCCAACTATAAATACTAGATATTAACATTATTCTACCCGTAAACAAAATACCAACATTTTCAGATTGTCATGCCATGTTACTGTGATCAAACTAACCACTTTATAGTTACAACACTATTAAATAAAATTACAACAATAATAAGTCAAATAACAAAAAACTAGAGGTTTTTTGACAGCAACTAGTTTCTGCAAGATTCAGTGACAAGTATATCTCAAACTAACTATAACATCCTCCAACTAATATTTTCTATCATTAATTTCACATCTCATTCTCTTCCACCGTATAACCTAGTGACCACACTACAACCCACCAAGATGATGCCATGCTAATCGTGAAGTATATATACCTGTAGTGTCTTGGGTAGCTTGAATCTCATCCTCTCCAACATTGGTTATGTATACCATCTCCAGAACACTATTGCTATCAACTTGAACCTGATTACTTTTGCCAACTAGCATTAACGATGAGTCACCATCTTTTTTGTAATAAAGATTGGTGGGAATGGCCAAACCTTAATTCTATTGATAAATGCATAGGCAAAAGATGAATGTTTTTGAGAAGAAGCAGAATAGAAGGAAGAAGAGAGACAGGGAGAGGAAGAGGGAGAGAAGGACGAAGAGGGAGAGAAGAAGAAGAAAGAGAAAGAGATGGGATGATGGAAGAAAGAGAAGAAGGACATTTCTGTCTTTTTAGTTTGATTTTATAATTACAATTTAAAACCGTTTCTTTTTTAACAATTTGATTTATTCAGGTAACTTTCTTATAATTTTGATATTTCAGAAATCTTTATTTATTACTTTTTCTAAATAGAAAGAGTTTTTACTTTCGTACTGTAATTAAAATTAAATAAAATTCAAATAACAAGAACAAGTTAGCACAGAGCAGTGCGGCCCTGAGCAAGCGCATGTCACTGTCCAGTTGTCGTAGTCACAAAGGAGCAGACGAACCCCTTCTTCTCCTAAACTTTCCCAAAGCCCACGCGCACCTTTCTTCACGCAGTCGGCAATCATGTCCCATGCGCCCCGTCGTTGTTTCCCCTCCAGATGTAATTCTTCTAATTTTAACTTCGCACGATAAATAATAGGTTAGGTTAAGGATTCTGCTAAAAAAATAATACTACCAGTTTTTAATATAAAAATTAGTTTAACTTTCAATTTAGTTTAAATATAAGAATATAATTTATTTTTTTGTTGTATTTCAAATATTTTTTAATTGGAATACTCAGGGTATTTATTTTAATTATATTAAGGCTTAGATTATTCATCATGAATGATCTCTTAGATCGTTCAAATTTCAGTGGCACCCTGAGGAAGGATATCCAGTTATCCACTTAAGTGCTTCAAGCTTCAACATTTTCCTAGTCACTTCTTGTAAATGAGTTGATGCTTTATTAATTGTTCATTTCCCAATCGTTCTTATAGTACCAACTATCATTATATAATCTTCACACACCCAATGGATCTTTCCATCCAAAGAAAAGGTTTCTCTTAATTGATTTTGTAACAAATTTTAGAAAAAGTTAGTATGTAAGTTTCTATTATTTTACTTCATTTTAACTAAGTTTTTTTTTGTCGTTTTTTTTGTATTGATCTTTATAATTTTGTAAGGGTATCCTTAAAATTACCTTGAAGAAGCATTCAACATCTAGAAGTTCTTTTTTTTAAAATATGTTTTGAAAGTTTTATTTCATAACATTTCTATCTTGAATTACATCCTCATTTACTTTCTTATCATTTTCATTGCTACCTTCTTCATCATTTACTTCATCACCATTTTCATTATTACCTTGCTCCTCACTTAGTTCCTCACCAATTTCATAATCTCCATGCGAGTCATTTGGTTCTTCACATGCTCTTGGATGAAAGCTTCTTGTTGAGGTCCTCTATTACTCCCTCCAAAAATTTCAATCTCCTCCTCCAATATGTCCTTTCACGTACTTCATCATATATACCTCGTCTAACTCAGCAGGATCACCACCTACACTATTCTCATCTCCCCTACTTCTGTCATCTCTTCCACACAAGAAACTCTACAGAACCACCTAAAGTTGCTTTTATCTCTTAAAACATCTTCTTTGCATCCTCAAACTCACCAACCAAACTATACAAATCCGACGAGTCTTCACTACCACCTGATGGTGAACCAACAAGACCACCACCACCTCTCACTACCATCTCACCCAAACCCTAAACTTATTTTTTCAAAAAAAAATTTTACCACATAGAAGGAGACAAAGGAGCGTGAAAGCAAAGTGTGAATTCAAAATGAAATACAACAATCACACATATTCTAAGGTTCTCAAATCCCATACCTTTTTAATTCAGACAATATCTACTATATCCTCTTCTCCAGTATTAGATTTCATGTGTACCCAACTTTTCTTTGCCATATCTTGCCTCCTCTGTCTTTATTACTATGCCTTTCGAACTCAATTTTGCCTGAGGTCCTAACTACTATTTGTCCACATTTATGGACACCAAGTTTATTTAATTTTCATTAGTACTTCTCTGTTGACTCATGACAGAAATGCTATGAACTAAAACTGTCAAAATATATTAGAGCCAAAAGAACTTCTAGGTATTAGGTGCTTCTTCGAAAAAAACTTTTAAGATATTTTAGGACCTTAGCCCTTTTTTCAATTATGAGTAGTAGCCTTTACAATCAAAGTTTGTAAATTTGTAAGAGAATTGACAATCATAACCATATATGAATGCAAAGATATCATCATGAGCACAATAATCTATTTAGGTTGATAGTGAATAAATTTTATTCTATCAAGTTCTTTTAAAAATCTCCTTTTTATTTTATATGTTGTGACACCTTATATGTTGCTTAATCAATATTAACATCATCCATAATTAACAAAACATATAATTAAAGTTTATGCCTGTGAAAAAAGGATTAATGTGCAAATTTGTTCTAAAAATTTTTATTTAGGAAAATTGAGCATCTAAGAGTTTATTTTTGTATTCTATATTGTCCTAGGAGTTTTAAAATTGTGGCAATTCTACCCGTACTGTTAAAAGATTAATATTAATTATTAAAATAATGATATCAAATATTAATATTTTTAATGATAAGGGACAAAATTGTTATGATTTTAAATTTTTAAGATAATACTGAATCCAAAAAAAATTTCAGGTACTCAGCACTCTTGAGTAAACTTTTGAGACAAATTTGAATCTTACCTTTTGTAAAAAAATGTAAGGATTAAATAAAAAGAAAAACATTACATTGATATGAGTAAAAATCAAGTAAAATTATAAATCTACGGAGTTAATTTTCCTTAAAGTTTACTATTAACTTATTTTCCAACATCCTAAAATAATTAATTATATTCATCCTAAATTCCTACTAGCCTAAATCAAAATGGAAAAAAAATAGAATTTGTTACAAGTTCTATTATTTCCCCCCTCAAACTCTGTATTGCAAAAATATATGTTTATAAATATTTTTTATAAAAAGTCAATTTTAATCCAAGTCTAGATACAAACATTCAGTTACATAAAAAAAGGATGGCTCAATATGAAATAAAATAAAACAGCATTCAAAACAAAAAAGCAGAACAACCCAATACGTAAAAAAAACAACTGAGAGCCTTGGGACTCATTCATCCTAGCAAGTCATATTAGCAGGAGCTTGAAAAGGTGAAGTGCGGCAGCAGATAGCACGCGCTGGCATAATGGGCGCGGGTTTATTTTATTTATTCACTGGAAAACATTTAAGAAACGGCGACTTCTCTCCCTGACGGGAAGACGAGCCCTTGTCTGCTTCTTGATTTTGAAGTAAAAATCTGTGCTTTTCCCACTCTCTTTCTCAATCCATTACCCATCATTCTATCTCTGTCTTATCTCTTCCCAAATCCCCATTACCAGAAATGAAGATTAAGAACAAAGGTAAAGTTCACCCTTCTCCCTCGTCATCTTCTTCCTCCGATCATGCCGATGTTCTCCGGCTTCTTCCCGCCGCTATTCTCGCTCTCGCTTCCGTCCTCTCCGTCGAAGACCGTGAGGTCCTCGCTTACCTGATTACCAGGTCCATGGACGCTTCCATTTTTCTTGAATCTTCCAAGAAGAAGAAACCGTTTTCCAAGAAGAAACCCTTCCCTCACAATCCTCCCCTCTTCCACTGCGACTGCTTCGATTGCTACACCAGCTACTGGTTCCGGTGGGACTCCTCCCCGAACCGCGAACTCATCCACCACGTCATCGACGCCTTCGAGGACCACCTGACCAACGGCGAAAACGCTAAGAAAAACGGGCATAGAGGTAAAAAGGAAGAGAGAACGACTCGTCCTCTCACCATTGTTCCGCCTCAGAACACAATGGCTTTACACGAGAGTCCCCCGCCGGATATGGCCGACGACTCTGGAGTCGCTGAGTCTCTAGATAGTGAAGCGCCTCCGTCGAATTCGCCAAGACGGACGGATAATGCTGAAGTAAGTGAGCAGCCAGAAACAGAGAAGACCATAGATAAGGCAGCGTCGGCGGAGGAGGAAGAGGAGGAGCTGGGTGTGGCGCTCCCTCCGATTCCGGCCGGTAACCACAGGGGTTTGGCCAGGATGGTGTTGCTGGACGTGATGGGGCTACTGAATTCGCGTTTATGGAACCTTTGGGGTCCGAATGTTTAATGCGATTATTTTTTTTTATTATATTTTTCTCGAGCCCAAAAAGGAATGAGAGAAAGAAAGAGGGAAAAAAAGCATATATTTTTAACATATCAATGGTCGGTTTGGTTCCTGTGACTGTGAATGCGAGGCCCTTAGGGGGGGGGTTTAACTCCGTTCCGTCTCGCTATTTATTTGGTGGCTTTTGTTTTTAAAGTTTTTCCCCCCAAATTTTTTTGTTGCTTTTTGGTCCATCTGTAAGCGAAAAGTAGTTGCCGGCCGGAAGTCGTTTTCCGGGCAGTGGTCTTAGTTCAAAAGTTTCCAAGGTGCTCTTGCAGGATATTTTCATTAAATTTTGCTTAGGAGCAACGTTTTTGTAATTTGGTGGCATTAAATTTTTCATTTCTGTAAAATGTAATGATTTAAGAATAAACAAGGATGTCCCGTCTACTTCTTTTAAGATATATGGGCTCAAAAGTCACCCTCTGATACTGTTCCCGACCATGTTGGAGCACTATTGTCCTGGCATTATTCATTATTATTAAGTGGAACACTCAACCTAGAAATTCGGTTCTTTTATGCGGCTAAGCGGAATTGCTTGAACTCTTTAAAAGGTATTAGCGAGAATTATAACGGGAGAAGAGAGATTACTTTGAGAGGATATTCACGTTCGAGCCCCAAAAAAATTTTAAACTTTATTGATTCTTATTTAAAAGTTAAATTTTTAATCCTGTTCATATTTAATTTACATTATATCTAATGAGAATATAATAACAAATAGATGATAAAATTATAAATTAACATAAAATTTTTTTCTCTCTGTCTTGTACATATGACTAAGTTTTTTCTCTTTCTTTCTCATAAATAAGACCAAAGGAGTAGTTATTTAAAAAAAAAATTAAAGATGTTGATTAATTTAATACTATATCGTAGTAGTCCATACAATTTGATTATTATATATAGAATTATTTACAGATATATGGATGGTAGATTGGTAGTTGGAGAAAATGGGACCGTTGAGAGAAGAAAAGTGTAATCCAAGTGTGTGGATAAGGGAAGCATCATGTTGAAAGTTATGAAGGACGGTTTGTCCGCTTTCATTTTCCTTGGTAAATGACAAAATATAGGAAAAATTATGGGAGAATCATTATGACATTTCAAGAAGAGAATGTAATATTAGTAATAATAAAAAACTTTACAAGAAGTGAGCAGCATTCAATATCAAGTTTTTTATGGTGAAACATTAGAGGATCAGCCCACTCAAGCAATGGGCGACTAATTCCTCAGGACTTGCAAAGGCCCAATTATGGGGACCACCCTCCCAAGCACACCAGCTCCACTCCCATCCTCTAGCAGAATCGAATCCGGGAGCAATGGTTAAAGGACACAGACTCTTATCTATTTGTGCCAATATGTGCTGGTAATATTTAAGTTCTTGTGCAAGAAATAATAGCATCTTTTGTGGTGCTCACTTTTTGTTGGGCTTTTTGATAATTCCATTTTTTTTTACACTCAATAATTTTCTCAAAAATTATTTATAGCCCAATGTGAGAAATTTAAATACAAACAAGTCCTCCAAGTTTTACTTATTTCCAAGAGTGGATTCAATTGGCCTGAGTGGGATGTGGACTTTAAGTGAAAAGGCTCTTATGCCCCTATTAATAATGCGACTTCACCAAAATACCCTCAATGCAAATAAAACAATGCGCATAGGATGAAATCATTTGGACGAAAAGAAAGATGGGTGAAGGTGTCAACTAGTAAGAACCTCCATTAATCGAGCACATCTTCGTCTCTTTCGTACTTTGGTTTCTGATCGGACTTAAGAAAAATGGGATTTGTGAGGTGGGGCATGCGAAGAGAATGAGTTTTAAAGGATAGCATTTGGCCTAAATTAATGGAGTTATAGGATTTCGGGCATACCTGGAGAGTCCGACAACTTCAGATAGCCATGCAGAGGTTCGGTTATGATGACGAACTCGGATCTATAGTCTCACAGCAAATGCACACTGGGGAGGAAGAACAGAGGGGGAAGAGAGGAGTGGTTTTCGGCGGTTTTTTTTTTATTGTTTTCACCAAAGAAAACTACCCCCATATACCACGTTAAAATAACTGTTCCCTCCTTTCTTCAGTTTAAACAAAAAGAGAAAATCGCGATTGGAGACCTGAATGTTATGTTATTTACACCAAAACCTCAAGATTAATAGGCTTGGGTCCATCCCATTTTTCTACAGGAGTGTTATTGTCTTGTAAGTGATCATGTTTAATTATCTTTGCTTGCATCTTGTAGGGTTTTTGATGTTTTGAAAAAGGTAGAGACTTTATACATCGGTGAATGCAAAATCAAGAAGGATTAAGGAAGTCTATGTTAAACGGACAAAAGGTAAAGGCTTTATAAAAATTGAGTAGCTTCTATTGTAAATTCTGTGAGTTTGAGTTGTAAATTGCAGAAGACATGATGTTAGTTTGGATATAGTTGAAATTTTCTGTTTAGGTAAAATGCTTTCGAAAATGTGCAATGTATAGGCTGAATTTTGGAAATTTTAGTAGACATAATGTTATTCACCAATAGTAGTAAATAACTAAACAAAAGTAGTTACTAAATATTCAACAATACTTCACATATTTTTTTAATTTTTGAAACAAAAGTAGCTACTGACGAAACTAGAGTAGTCAATAACTAAACTAGAGTAGCTATTAAATTTTTAAAAACAAATGTAATTAATATTTAAATAAGAGTAGTTAATACTTAGACAAAAGTAGTTATTAGAGTTCTAGTAACCGGCGACATGTTGTCAGAAGGGCTGCCCACATCAAAGCTCTGGTGGCTGAAATGGGCTAGAGGTGTTCAGGTGGAATTCTTTTAGGGAGAAAAAAGGGAAAAAAAATAGTGAATGACATTTGCATCATTTTGCAAGATTTAAAAATTTCAAACTAGTACAAGGGATCTGATTTGGGATTTTGAAATGTACCCCCACTGATTTGTCATTTAGCAATTTTTAGGGTATTTTATTGTCTTTTCTCCTTTTTTCAATTCCATGAAAATTTTAAATAAAAAATATATTTGCATAATGAATAGCATGTTTAGATTATTCTAACATGTCCAAACCAGACATATGTGGAAGATCAATATATAAAAACAATATGATGTAGAACAATGGAGGGAGAAAAAAAGAAATAACGAAGAATAGGGAAAAGAAAACCCAGAGAGAGAAAAAATAACTAAAATCTATCTATCGTTGGAGTAAAAACCCTAAAACTATTTATAATAAAAATAATTGTTGGATTATTTGACTTGGTCGAATATACTGGTCGAATAAAAATAATTGTTGGATTATTTATAATAAAAATAATCGTTGGAGTAAAAACCCTAAAACTATTCATAATGTTTATATATCCTAACTCAGATTTAACTTGATGGGCTTAGTGGATATTTTGGCTTCTCAAAATACCTCTGATAAAAACTATAAATAGAGGCTTCCACCCATCAGTCCAACTCACTCCAATAGTTGAGCTTTCCTACTATCTCTCTCTCTCTCTTATTCTTTCTTGCAAAGAGGTGCTTTGCTGTGCACTTAAAGCCTAGACTTTTATAATTTAGCTTATAGCGTGAGCTCAGAGGATCTGACTGACTTGACTCAAGATTCGACCTAGTACGTTTCTTGATCCATTCTCTATTTATTCTCATATTGGTATCAGAGCCCTACTGATCTTGAGGCTTTATGTGTGTGTGTATTGTTCGGATTGTCTTTTTTTTTTTTGAATTCTTCTACTGCGCCGTCCGTGCATTATTTTTGGCATTAATCATATGCTTGTGAATTAAATTCGAAAGCACACTCTGACTTTATATTTGAAGCTTGAAAATACTATCTGTAATACCATGAGGTTCAAAAATGCGATCAAAATCCATTTTCCACAAGCTCCAACATCAGCCAAACAAACTAGCTTTTTGGGTTTTTAAAAATGACGTTTTTTTTTTTAAAGAAAATAAATCTGTAGGGTTGTAGAACACAAAAATACGAGTTCATAGACACCTAAAACGCGTAAAACGAAGTTCAGTATGGAGGTTGGAAATTGGTGGGTCATGACAAACTTGTCGAAGCTCTAGCTGGGTCTGGGTTGACCCGGCTAGAGGTCAAGGACAACCTAACTAGCCCAAAACGGCATCGTTTTGGACTGGCAAGGACGCAATGTTTCAGGTTTGTTTGACCCAGAACCTCCATAGAGTTGGGTCAGTCCAAAAAATAGAAGATTATTTTAAAAAAATCTTTTTAAATAAATATTTTTCAAAAAATTTTTTTTTCTCTGGAGATGTGCCATGTGGGTGAGTGGGGCCCACCCAGGGCCCCTTAGGTCACAACAAGCACATATTTAGACTCTTTAAAACGTGAGGAATCAAATGGAGTGGGTCCAGTGACGGAAGAACATTGACAAGGCGGCGCGTGGTCGTGGATGACATGTGGCGATCCTGAGAGTAGTCGACCCTCTCCTCCTTTAAGATTTTTTAAATTTTTTTGGGAAGGCTTCTTGGGGCACGTGAAGGTGTGTGGAGGCTTATTTTTAGACGTTGTTTGGCCTAAAATATTCCTAAAATCATGAGCTATAAATTGATATATTATGTGTTTATTTTTGATGACTTTTTTGGTATAAAAAATAGTAAATAAATATTTTATTTTTATTTTTCCCCTTTTAACTTAAAATTTATTTTTTTTTGGGTTTAGGAAATGGCAATCTCAAATTCTAACCACTCTTTTAAAATATATCCAAGTTATTCTTCTCTTTCTGAAGCTTCAAAGTCTTCAAATAATTATGCTAAAGAAAGTACAAATAAAAGAAAAACGCCTCAATCGTGAGTGAGCTCTAATGTACCTGAGGGGAGCAATGGTAAAAGGAAACGTGTTCCTGACCAACAAGAAGAAGAAGTTTGCAGACCTAAGGACATAAATTTAATTGAACAAATAGCAGAAAAGCATGCTGATGAATACAAGCATAAAAAATGTCTGTTTTCAAAATATGCAAATCTATTTCTGAACTGCATGGGATGCTTAAAACTGCTGAGCCAAGTGTTAAGAAGAAGCCCAGTACTGTTTTGATGGTTCAGAAAGGAAAGGGTATGAAGAAGAAAGGCAAGGGAAAAGGGAAAGGTCATGGCTCATCTGGTAAGACCAAAGAGTTAGGCAAGCCCGAAACCAAGCCTGCACCAAAGAAGGCAAAGCCTTCAAAGGAAGGAGTCTGCTTCTTCTGCAATGAACCTGGTCATTGGAAGAGGAATTGCAAGCTCTACCTCGAAGATCTAAAAAAGAACAAGAAGGATAGCGGGGCTATCACTTCAGGTATTTATGTTATAGACATTCATCTTTCTACTTCCACTACATGGGTATTAGATACTGCATGTGGTTCTCACATTTGTACAAATGTGCAAGGTCTAAAGGACAGTAGGAAGCTGAAGA